GCTTAATTTTTCATGAGTTCTGTGTTTTTCAAGGCAGCATAGTATTCCATTGTATAAGTATACCAGAGCTTCTCTATCCATTCGTTTGTTGATGGGTATTTAGGTTTTTTCTAACTCTTTGCTATTGTGAACAAAGCTGCAATAAACATGGGTCTGCATATATCTGCCTGGGTGGCAGTTATGATTTCTTTAGTGTATATTCTCAGTAATGGAATTGCTGGGTCAAATGGTATTTCTATTTGCAAGTTTTTGAGAAAGTGCCATATAGCCTTCCATTTTGGTTGCACCATTTGACACTTCCATCTACAGTGAATAATGGTTCCAGTTTCTCCACAACCTTGCCAGCATTTATTGTTTGCTGCTCTGCTAAATTTTGCTATTCTGACTGGGGTGAGATGATATCTCATAGTTGTTTTGATTTGCATTTCTCTTAGAGCTAGGGATTTTGAACATTTCTTCATGTATTTGTTGGCCATCAGAATGTCTTCTTTGGTGAAATGTCTATTCATGTCCTGTGACCACTTTTCAATTGGGTTATTTACCTTTATCTTGTTGTGGTGCTCAAGTATTTTATAAATTCTAGATATAAGCCCCTTATCTGACATGTCATTACCAAATATTTTTTCCCAATCTGTGGCTTCCCTTTTTACTCTGTTGGAGAAGTTTTTGGATGTGCATAGGGATTTGATTCTTAGAAGGTCCCATTCATCTATTTTATCTTCTCCTAGTTGTAGATTTTTCAGGATGCTGCTTTGTCATTATTATAGTGAGAATTTGATTATATAGTCTGGAGGGAAGCTCTGGTGGTGCTGTGGTTAAGGCATTCAGCTGCTTACTGAAAGATTGAAGGTTCAAATCAGCTAGCAGCTCCATATGGGAGGACAGTGAAGCTTTCTGTTTTTGTCACTATTCACAGCCCTGGAAATGCCAATTCACAGCCCTGGAAATGCCAAGAGACACCTCAGCTTTGTCCTGCAGGGTCACTGTGAATTGGAATCAGCTAGATTGCAGTGGGCTTGGAGTTTTCTTTGGTGTATATTCTAGAGCACATGCACTCTTGCTAAGGAGTGATCTTACAGTTAGAGATGAAATGGATGTTTTTTCATATGATGTAATTTGAAGACTAGGAGTGGAGGAAACAGAGCTGGTCTGTTAAATTCCGTTAGTGAAATGTTGTTTGAGTTTCTCATATGCTTATCACCAGTTTCTCTCTCCATCCCTCCCCACCCCCTCCACTCTCTTAAATGATATTGTTAGATGCCTTTGAGTCAGCTCTAGCTCGTGGGGACCCCGTGCTCAGTGGAATGAAACTCTGCCTGGTTTTGTGCCTTTTCCATGAGTACTGGCATGTCTGAGGACTTTGTTGCTTTCCAACCTAAGCGGCTCCTTCCAGCACAGTATTGGATAGTGTTTGGTTATCAGCCATCGAGTTTTCAATGACTGACTTTTGGAAGGAGAAGATCAAGCCTGTGTCTTGGGCTGTCATGGTCTGGAAGCCCTGCTGCAACCTGTAGAACACCCGAGCAGCATGTTGGCCTCCACTGACAGACAAGGGGTGGGGGACTCTACTTGAGGTGCATCGGCTATGCATTGAACTCAGGCTTTCTGCAAGGGAGGCATGAGCTCTGTCACTGAACCACCGCTGCCCTGGTTTCATCAATAGCCACTTGCAAATGACCAGAACGAATCGGAATCGACTCACATGACACTCAGAATAAACTCAGGCTCATTGCTGGCAGGTTACAGCCAACTCAGACCTGACTCCCCAGCAGATTTTCCTGTAAATCACACAGCAGGAGATCCCCTATTGTTCTCCTGGGGAGCAGCTGGAGAATATGAGCCACCAGGAGAGGCACCACTTTTCCATTAGTGTCACTCTCCATGACTACGCTATCAGAGCTCCCAGATGACATTAGGTTTAGGGATCTTTGTTGGTTTGGTTGGTTACAGTGCTGTTATTTACAGTCCTTATTCACAAGTGTCAGTTCCCCAGGACCCATGCCAGATACATTCCCTGTTTTCAGCTGTCACTTTTACTCTCCTTCATTCTGGAGCAGTTTTCTTTATTCGCCTTTTTGTATGCATATCTTAACTCTGGCATTGTTAAATGCTACAGACCTGTTATTTTGTAGAATGCTTCTTGATTTGGTTGCCTGATGTTTCTTCATGATTAGATTCAAGTTACACACTTGCTTAGTGTTGAGGCATGTGATGCTTGTTTCCCTAAAACTGGTGATGTTAACATTTGTCTGCTTATTATAGTGATGACCGCTGGGAAGTTACTATTTTAGAGGAAGACTGTTTATATTCTGCACTTCATCTCATCAGATGTGCACCTTAGTCCTAAAACTAACATTATTACTCCTCAATAATTTGGAGAGGTTCCTGACTACAGACTTCTCTAGGGCAATGAGTCTCCTGATTTCCTGACTGGTAGTACCAAATGTTTTGATATAGTTAACATTTTTTGCTTTAAATAGTTGTGTGTCATATGAAAAAAAGAAAAGGAAAAAAGTTTATAGTGTTTTATATCTGTTCACATATTTACCACTGCCAGAAATCTCTTCATACCTTCTTGCAGATTGAGATTTCTAGCTGGTGTTATTTTCTTTCAGCCTGAAGGACTTCCATGTAGTTCAGATCTCTATTGATATCCTTAGACCTTAATGCTCATCTGTTTAAATGAGACTCTGCTACACTGTTTAGCTGCTGTTTTTAGGCTATTGACTACTACTTACAGCAATGTTATGAACAACAAATCAGAACATTGCCCAATCCTTGTCCTGGCAGGATACCGCAAGGCTCCGATCTCTACAGCAGGGTTGCTAAAAGAATTGTGATGAGCTGGAAAGAAACTACAGATCACATAAAAGAAATTTTATCAAAGTCTTAGATGACTAGAACTTAATTTTTTTTATTATTTTATTAATTTTAATGAAAGTGTACAGAGACTTAGGGTTTCCAGTCATTCATTGTTGCACTTTTCTCCCTGCCCACCCCCAATTTCACTCTTTTCCTTGAAAAGAAGAAGAAAAACTCTTTCATTATTATGCAATCCCTCCCACCAAGTCCACTCCACTATGCAGCCTTTACTCTGGACTTCTGTAATGACAAGAATACCCATTCATATATCTGTTTTCTTATAACAGTTCTCTTCTTCATCTGTTTCAATGCAATGTACATAGGCTCCAGTATCAAACTGACAGCTTAAGTGTGCTTACTGTCATCTCTATGCTAATTATTGGTACTTCAATATTAACAAGCATTCCTATCAGTTCATTCACGCCTTTAGTGAATATTTAGTGAACAAATACCAGGCACTTTTCAAGCTTTGGTGATCTAGTGATAATACAGGCACTATGCTTGTTCTAATGAGATGAAATCAGACAATAAAAATATAAACATGTAAATGAAAAATAGAAATCAGTAGTAAATCCTATGTCTCTTTCTCCAAAACATCAACAATCAAATCCACAAAAACACATCCAAGTAGTAAGCTTCTGTGTCTTCTAAAATATCACACTCTAGGTTCCTATAAACATCACACTCTAGGTTCCTTATTCAGGAAAAATATGCCAGAAACCAAGGTCAGTTACCATACAGGGACATCTTTTGATTTACTGGTTTATGTGATAGGGAAATTAAAATTTAATAAGAGTGATTATTTTTTTCTATTTAACAACGAAAATGCTAACTTGTATACAGGAAAAATAAGTTATTAATTAACTGTAGTTAATTTTTATTGACAACATCAAGATCAATAACATCTTGACTTTTCAGAGTGTTTACAACTATTTTGATAATTCTGTTAATGAAAAAAATGTTCTTTTAAAACATAGATCTGGCTTTGCCATTCTTAGCTTTAATTTCCCCCCCCCCCAAATGAAAGAGAGACTTAAATGAGGGCCCAGGGCCATGGGGTTCAGAAGGAGGCCACCTGAAAGAGACAATGGAGCCAGTGAAAAGGGTGCTGTTATTTGACCTTTTTTGGGGTGCAGGTTGTTGGTGTGCCCACACTTCTTAAGACAGTTGACAGCCTGGGGATGCAGGCGAGCATAACACTTGGGGTGCACCGTCTTGTTGTGGTTATACTTCTGGGCAAGTTTGTGCAAGGAAGGCTCAATAATACCAACACGCAGACCCAGCAACAGATGCAGGGTGGACTCTTTCTGGATGTTGCAGTCCGAGAGTGTACTGCCATCCTCTAGCTGTTTGCCCACGAACATCAGATACTGCTGGTCAGGGGGGTCACCCTCCTTGTCTAGGAGTTTGACCCTGACGTCACTGGGCTCGACCTCAAGAGTCTTAACAAAGGTCTGCATTTCTGTGTCTGCGGCTTGGCTGCCTCCTTGAAGAGAAAGAGGGCAACAGAACCAGAAACTGCTGTGCGCTGATCAGTGTTAAATTTTTCAGTAGCCCTACATCTAGTTCAGAGTAAAATGCTGGCTTATTGGCAAGGTCTGTGAGTCTTGCATTTAGTCCTTTGAATCTCTCATGAGCCTTTTGGAGAGAGCTTCCTTTGCCTGGTATTCCTTATTTTAACCTTATGGAATCCTACTTTTTCATAGCCTCTGCCTTATCTTCCCCTTGCGTGGGCTGAGCTGTTACTTTTTGTACAAGTGTGATTTATTTTCTAAAACAATGTAGTTATTTAAATAGGGCTTTGAATCTACTAATAATTTGGAGATCTTTGAAGATAGTGTCTGTGTGTTGGCTCTTAACAGTCATGTAGTATATGTTGAATATGGTTGTTTTACCATGTGAAGTCATATCACTTAAAGATTGAAATAGGTATTCTTTCTAATACCTGTAATAAATAGGTTTTAAAATGCCATTATTCCTTTTATGTTAATTGGAGTATTTTCTTTTTTTCACTGAGATTACAATTTAGTATATAAAAGGCAATCTTTTGGTTTTTATTAACATGATTTGCAGCTTAATTGAAGTAACTATGTGTAGATTATCAGTTGCCTAAGTCATGTTTTCATTTCCATTGACAGAATCCAACATGGCGGAGTCTTGATTTTGGAATAATGCCTGACCGACTTGATACATCTGTGTCTTCTTTCCTGGTGAGGATATGGGGTGGAAAGGAGAACGCCTTCCAGCTTTTGATTGAGTGGAAAGTCTGTTTGGATGGACTGAAATACTTGGGCCAGCAGGTAATTTTTATACTGGGGTTTACAAGTGGTTTTCATGTTTGAATGAGCCTTCTTTATCTTGCTGTTACTTTCTTTTTTAAAAAAAAACCAAAACTACCCTTCTTATAGAGAAAACTTTTAGAATTGCTAATTTAGTTATAAATTTGAAGTCTTCACCAAGTTTGTTAAATGTGTTACTGAAGCGAGCACAGAAATCTTCACCAAGTTTAAAAGAAGAAATTTGTGAAGAAGCCTTATGATTTGAGAGGATCATTTCCCTCCCTTCCTGTAGTGAAGGAGATGCTTTCTCATGGCATTCTGCTGCTTCTTTGTCTTACCATGTGTTTATCTCTAGGACTTGAAAATTAAGTTGACAAAGAGGATTATTCTATTGTTGTTTACCATCAAATTGGAACCGACCTGTAGCTGACCTTCCAGCAGTTTTTCAGAGACAGTAAATTACACGGAAAGAGATTGCCCATCCTTCTGCAGAGCAGCTGATGAATTTGATCTGCAACCTAGATTATTCTAGGAGTAAGAATTACTCCTTGCTGAACACAGGGGAGACAAAAGTTTGTGTTTTAGGTACTCTACTTTTCCCCTACTGTTTTTTATCTGCAATTAAAAAAAACAAACAAAACCAACCCAAACCACCAAACCAACCAACCAGAAAACCCAATCACAACAAAATGCAAAATGACCCAAACCCAAATCCATTGCTATTGTATTGATTCTGATTCATGGCAGCGTCCCAACTGCTCTGTAGGAATGTCTTGGCTGTAATCTTCACTGAAGCAAAGTGCCAGGCCTTCTGCTGTGCTATTGGTTGGGTTTGAACAGCCAACCTTTTAATTTTATAGTTGAACATAAGCCATTTCCTCCTTCTAGAGCACCTGTACTTCTGACAAATTTAGTTAGGAAATCACACCACTCATCTAGTTGAGTTTGGAACTAGCCCTTTCTGTCACAGTATTCTTGGAAGCAACTAAGAATTTATCAGAAATGAGTATGAAATGAGTGAAACCTCTTTGCCATCCCAGACATAGATTATTACGATAAATATTTATAGTAACCTTGTCAGTGATCTGGAATACATATCCACCATGCTTATTCTTATTAGCATAATTTAGCAGTTCTGAAGTGCATATATTAGTATAGAACATGATACAGGCTGTTTGTTAGCATGTTTTTCTTCTACTTCATTAGTGAGAAGCAAAGGAATGTTTCTGAGCTCTATGGTTGCCTGGTTTCTGATTCCTTATTAATTTTTTCTTCAATAATTTCTCATGTCTATTTTCTTAAAATACTTTCAAATCCAATTGCTGCATCATTAAGATACTTGTATAATAAAGAGCAGGGAGTATTTTCTGCCTTTTAGTCAAAAGGAAATGAAAACATAGGACCATTAACAGGGATTTACTACTTAGTATTGTATAATTATTAGACACTAAGGGATAAAGATAAAAAAGGAAGGGTTCCTTTCATTAAAGAGCTTATCATGTAGTAGTTAAAGTTGCAGTTAGAATCCAGCTCACTTGATTTCTCCACCAACATCTTAAAATAATTTGAGCAAAAATTTAGAAATCATATTGGTTTTCCTTTTAATTATTTTGTTTTAAAACATTAATTACAAGTGATTGTTGTTGTTGTCAAGTCACTTGTAACTCATAGCGACCCTTTGTACAACAGCCCTAAACCCTCCTCTACCCTGTGTCAATCTCATTGTCTCTAACACACCTGCCACCATTACCCCAGTGACGGAATCAATCCATCTCATCAAGGGTCTTCCTCTCCTGCGCTGTCCCTCCACTCTCCCAAGCATGACGTCCCTTTCCAACGACTGGTTCCTCCTTGCAACGTGTCCCAGGTATGTCAGATGAAGCTTTAGAATCCTTACCTCCAAGGAGCAGCCTGCCTTCAACCTCTCCAGAATGAACTTGTTTGTTCTTCTAGCAGTCTATGGTATATTCAATACTCTTCTCCTGTACCAAAGCTCAAAAGCATCAACTCTCCTTCTATTATCCCTAGTCATTGTCCAGGTCTTTGAAGCATAGCAAGTGATTGCAAAGACCATGGACTGTATCAGGCTCACCTTAGTCTCCAGACTGACATCATTACTCCTCAGTACCTTGGAGGGGTCTCTGACAGCAGACTTTGCCAGTGCAGTTCATCTTTTAATTTCCTGGCTGCTGGTACCAAGACTGTTGATTGTAGTAGAGCCAAGCAAACAAAAGCAGTCAACAATCTCAATCTCTTCACCATCTGTCATGATGCTGCCAATCTGCCCAGTGATGAGAATCTTTGGTTTTTTGATGTTGAGCTTCAATCCATATTGAAGGCTGCAATCCTTGGACCTTCTACAGTAAGCGCTTCAAGTCCTCCTCAGTTTCAGCAAGCAGGGTTGTGTCATCTGCATAACGTAGCTTGTTGGTAAGTCTACCTCCAATCCTGATGCCACATTTCTTCTCATAGAGCCCAACCTCCTGGATAATCTCTTCCGCATATATATTAAAAAGATATGGAGATAGGACACATCCTTGATGCACACCCTTCCCAATTTTGAACCATGTAGTGTTTCCTTGCTCTGTTCTGATGACTGCCTCCTGATCCAAGTATTAAGTTTCGCATAAGCCCAATCAAGTGTTCTGGGATTCCCATTCTTCTCAAAGTCAGCCATTGTTGTGATCCACATAGTCAAATGCCTTTGCATAGTCAATGAAACACAGACAGATGCTCCTCTGGTACTCTCTGCTTTCAGCCAAGATCCATCTGACATTAGCTATAATATTCCTAGTGCCATGGCCTCTTCTAAATCCAGCCTGCACTTCAGGCAGTTCTCTGTTGGTGTGCTGTTCTAGTCATTTTTGGATGATCTTCAACAGAATCTTGCTTGCATGTGATATCAGTGATATTGTTCAGTAAGTGATTAATGTAATTAATTAACTTAACTAATTACAGCCTAATTATATATTAGTATACAAAATCCCTTTCTCTAAACCCAGCTGTTTATTTATGTATGTTGCCTATCTCTTCACCCGATGTGGCGATTTATTAATTTTTAGTCCCCTCTCCTTCCCTTCTAATCTTGGTAACCATCCAAGAATGATTTTGTGTGAAAACTTTTACTTTTTTAATAGTGTAATACCATAGTAATCTTTCTGTGACTGATTTATGTCATTTAGCTTAATTTCCTGTAGATTCACCGATGTTTTGCAGTGTTTTCTTTAATGTTGCGTAATACTCCACTGTGTAAATATGCCATCCTTTCTTTAAACATTTGCCCATTAATGGACACTTGAATTGTTTCCATCTCTTTGTTCTTGTAAATGTTGCTGCAGTAAACATGGATGTGCATGTATCATTTCATGTGGCAGCTCTTCTATACAATAAATATGTAGTAGCAGGATTGCTGTTAGCAAATGGTATTTCCACTTAACCTACTAAGGAAGTATCAGACTGTAGTGGTTGCTCTGTTTTACATTCTCATCAACAATGTATGAGAGATCCAGTCTCTTCACACTTTCACCAGAATTTGTTTCTTCATGTCTGTCTTAACATTACTCTTTTTGCTGTAGTGAGATAATACCTCATTGTTTAATGTGATCTTTAAAATGATCTTGAGCATTTCGTCATATGTTGACCACCTGCATCTTCTGTGGTGAAGCATCTTTATGTCCTCTGTCCATTTGTAATTGGTGACTTGTTTTTTCTTGTTAAGGTGTTGGAGCTTCTTAATATAAATTTTGTAATTCTATAAATTTTAGAGATTAGTCTCTAGTCAGATTTGTCATTGTCAAATAGTTCTCTGTAGGTTATTATTTTACTTTTTTTGAGAAGTCTTTTGATGTACAGTAGAATTTAATTTCTAGGACTCTCAGACATCTAGTTTATTCTTTGCTAATTGTGCATTTTCATTTATATGCAATGATTTGTGATTGTTGTTGTTGTTGTGTATATCACATCAGAACTGACCCATAGCTGATTTTATGCTGGGGTTTCAGAGATAGTTAATCACGTGGGACGAGCTTGCCCAGCCTTCTCCTGTGGAGCAGCAGTTTGTGGACTCGAGCAGCCTGCCTTTGGGATTGCAGCGCAGCTTCTTGACACTAGGCTACCAGAGCTCCCTAGTCCACAGATTAGGGCTCTAATTTTTTTTTTTCCCTTTGATGATGTTAAATTTTATGCCTAGGTTCTAGATCCATCTTGAAATAGTTTTGTATGAATTCATTTTTCAAGGAAATTGAAAGGGACATTGCCAATTTTATTGGAAATGGAGAGGAAAGAAACCTTGAATAAGCAAAGAACTTCTGAAAAACAAAAATGAAGTGGGAAGCATAGTATTCCCGGACCTCAAAACCTACTACACACTGTTAGTAACCAAAGCAGCATGATACTGGTACAAGGACAGGTACATAGACCAAAGGAACAGAACTGAGAACCCAGAAATGGACCCAGCTATCTATGGTCAACTGATATTTGACAGGAAATAAAACCTATCAAATGGAGAATGACCACCTCTTCAATAAATGGTGCTGGCAGAACTGGACTTCTACTTGCAGAAAGCTGAAACAGGATCCACATCTCACTTTATTAAAAAGAAAAAATCAACTCAAGGTAGATCAGAGACCTGGGAGGGAAGCCCCCAAACCATGAAGTCCATAAGAGTGGGATCAAGCTTAGAAGCGCTAGTCCAAGGTATAAAGACACTGCCAAATACAGCCAGAAATGCGTAATCTGGAGAGGATAAAATTGGTGAAAGGACTTCCTAAAGATTAAATCCCTTTGCACATCAAAAACATTTTCCAACAGAGTGAAAAGAAAATCTACTGACCGGTAAAAACATTTGGCAATACCATTTCAGACAGGGGTCTTATAGCAAAAGTTTAAAAAGTTTAAAGAATCCTACATCAGAAAATCCCCATTGGAAAAAGACTGACAACACAATTACAAAATAGGCAAAAGGCCTGGAAAGACTCACAGAGGAAGATTTTTGGATGGCCAACATGAAGAAATGTTCAAAA